ATGAACAGAGTTAGGTAACCAACTTGGGGAGAGAAGTCCTCAAAGATATCGCGGTTTTAATAATATCAGAGTTGACTGGTCACCATCATAGATTGTGGGCATGAGGCATGAGGCATGAGGGGATAAGCTTTTTTTTTTTTTTTTTTGAATTATTTTTATTTATATAACTTTTATTCATTAAAATTTTTATGATCCAAGAAATTGGGATTCAGTGGATAGGGTTGATGAATGGGTACTAAGGAAGTATATTTTATGTGGATATCTAATCTAAATTGTTGATGTGAAATATATTAATGGTTTGATCAATTTTTTCATGCACTTCAAGTGCTCATCTTGATCTGTTGGTTATAAGCTTGAGATGTAGTCAACTAAGAGGTCATGAATTTGAAGCTTGCATATGTGATATGTGTGTCAGTTTGAGTTTAATTCGCTTAAAAATTCTAAAAAAAGTATAAGTTTTCTCGTTGAAATGTTACGAGAGGAGTTTGACTTTAAATGAATTATAATTACATTTATAATTGAAGAAATATGTCTGATATTTATTTTTTGAAGAAGTATATGTCTGAAAGTTTGTTTCAATTTCTGAATATACGTCCTTGGAAATAGAATAAATTTTCAATCATTAGAACAATCTAACAATCACGCATCTTGCTGGACTTGTGAATAGATATTGAACAAAAAATATGTCAGGATATTCCGATGCAAAATGCATTAAGGCTAATATTTGGGAAGACTTTTTTACTGCTTCTTAAATTAGATTTCTAGTAAAAAAATTAAAAAATTTATACTATAAATCTATTTTAAGAAGCAGTAAGAAAGTCGTGCCAAACAAAGCATAAGATAAACTTCAAAACCACTCGATTTGCATTAAATACAATCCATATCATATAAAACACCAATATCAATGTGATGCACAATGCTTTAAGACTTCATTTGAGACAATTTTTTACTGTTTCATGAAGCAGCTTTCTAGTACAAAAATTTCAAATTCAAAAAGTTTTAGTACTAAGAACTTGTTTTATAAAGAAGTAAGAAAACTGTCTCGAACGAAGCCTAAGATCAACTTCAAAGCAGCTCGATTTGCATTAAATGCAATTTATATCGTGCAAAACACTAATATCAATACAAATCGGACGACTTTAAAGTTCATCCTATTCGTTTTGAATCACAAAAGACTGACATAAAAATATCGAGATGCATAAAATAAAACATGGCCATTTTTATTTCATTTTTTGTTGCTTTGATTTTATTTCTTTTTTATAACACTTTCAATCTTATTGTAATTATTAAAAATATATATTTAATATACTCAAACTCTCATCTCGCATAGTCTCATGGCCTCTTCAGCACATGCAAGTAAGACTCACTATTATCCACTTCTTTTAATTTCATCACTACCGCACATGCTTGATTAGGTGGCGCAAGGAGATTGGGATTTCCGGGCCCACCGGGGATTTGTTAAGTATGTACAAGTGAGTACGTGGAATGAGCACGTGTTGGAGAAGCACTGCTCATCAAATTTTTTTATTTTTTATTTAAAAAATGCTTAGTGTTGGCTTTTAGTGTCTTATTAACTTATTAATTATTTATGGCATGAGATCCTACATAACAAATTTATCCTTGAGGTTGCTTTTTGTTACCTAAGCATAGAGAGAGCTTTATCGATTCATTTAATTGAATGATGATATAATATAATTAATGATTTTTTTATATATATAATGATGATCTGATGTTGTTTTTTATTTTTTGGAATTGGAATAAAAATCTATATCAGATCATTAGTATACGTAAAGAAAAATCATTAATTTATATCATATCCATCAAATTCATGAGAAATTTATTCTTATCTCTTGAAATATTGTATTTCCTCTCTTATGTGCTCTATCTGTGTCCATGATCTCATAGTTGCACGCTCGCTCAATGACTTCTCTTCTTTCAAAGTAAGGGTTATCTTGACTATTGTCCAACGTTATGCACATTAATACATTCAGAGTTCATTTTTAGGATTTATTTGGGACGGCTTTCTTGATGCTTATTGAAGAAGCTTTTTTTGTACAAAATCTTAATTTTTACACTAAAAAATTACTTTAAGAAGCAAAAAGAAAATCGTCTCAAACGAAGCCTTAAACTTTCACCACAATTTAAATATTTTACATCATGCTGATGATAAACTCATAGTAATTCAGAGCAATAGCTGTAGCAAATTATTTCAGTTAGGTTAAATTAGGGCTGCAAATGAACTGAGAGTTCGACGTGCTACTTCTGGCTCGAGTCAATAATAGCTTGTTTATGTTCATTTGATAATGTAAGTGAATGAGCTTGAATGCTTTTGACAAATATTTGATAGCTAAATAAATGTTTGAACAGCTTAGCATTCAGTTTGTTTATGTTCACGAACATGATCATTTAAAGCTCGTGAGCAAGCTCATTAAGAAGCTCGCGAGCAATATTGTTTAATAATTTATTCTTAAATTCCCGCTCTCTTGATCACAAATAGCTCCTGGGAACCCGCGCTCCCGGCCAGCACCCACTTCTGCTCTCACATTATGATTTTACTACCACGCCTTGCAGATAGCTGTTCGCAAGCTTGGCGAACAGGGTTACTAATAAGGATAATGGAATTCTCAAAGATGGGCCATTAAATCGAGCAGATGGTTCTGCAAGCTGTTTGAATGAAATTTTTTTTTTTATTATTTTGTTAAATGAGCGGCCTAGTTAATGATCTTCTCAATTAAGTTAAATTATTTCAGTAAATGAGCAATTAATGAACTGCTTGTTTATAGGCTAGACATGACTAAAATGAACCAAAATAAACATGAACACGAGTCAAGCTCGAGCAGGTGTTTTTTAAACGAGCTTGAGCTCAAGCAGGGACCTAAAAAGCTCGGCTCATTTCAAGCCGAGCTCGAAAAGGTCTTGCCAAATGAGCTCAAACTCGAACATGCTGAAACTTGACTTGACTCAATTCGTTTGTAACCCTATGTTAAATCCGTGTTTTCTCACTTTATGCATTATTTTTTATTGTTATAAACATTTGTCAAATCATTGTGCTTCCACGCAATATTAATCATACAATAAAGTTTTTTTTGTTCTCATCAACAAAAGGTCAATATATACTTTATAAGTACAAATATTTTACAAGCCTTTTTTCTTCATTTGTTGTCTTATTTGATGAAGCATAAGTACTGAGAGGCAGCTACTGTGGTGCATGAAGATTGACCTCATTTTTGTAAGCTACTGCCGACTGTTGACTGAAGAATGCCAGGTAGAAATCTGCAAATTAAATTTATGCACAACCTACTTTTAATCATCACTAGAAAATAAATATATTTTTTTTCATCTTACTTTACTTTCCCTATTTTTAATCATCACTAGAATAAGTTATGAGCTAATTGTCTACATTTTTTTGAATTGTAACTTAACATTAAAGCTTCATTTGAGATGGTTTTTTTATTGCTTTCTGAAGCAATTTTTTAGTATATTTTTTTTTTGTTTAAGAAATTTCTATATTAAAATATTGTTTTAAAAAGCAGTAAGAAAGTCATCCCAAATAAAGCCCGAGCTTTACTTATATTTTAAAAAAAAAATTTTAAGAAAATGTTACTATAGATACTTCTTTTGTGCTAGATATCTTATAACGATAGAGTTTGTGTTTTAGATCTTAATTTTGGACATAAAATTTGGCATGCACAAAAGAAAGTTATAAGATATCAGATTTTTTTATATATAGAAAACTAAAGTGTGGTGAAAAAAATCACGAAGTCTAATCTAATTATAATAATCTACCATGTAACTGGAGTTACAAGAATCTTTCTTGCAGCTACGGAAGATGGGGCGATACACAATTAAATATAATTATCTAATTTTCACTATAGGGATTACAAGAACTAGGTGATCACGAGTGGAACAGATAGTTAAAAGTTAGAGAAAGGGTTATAAGTTAATAATCAAGCAACAATAGTCCGATGATAAAAATTTGACAACGGTGGTCATCAACAGTAATCATAGAAAATTGATATATAATTCCTTATTTATCTTAACTTTTCAACACATTCTCATTTAGAGAATGTAGTCATATTTACATCTTTTTAAGATAGGCATGCATTTCGATAAATATGATCATAATTCAAAACGGTTCATAGCACACGTCCATATTGATCTCCTTGATAAAAAATGTTTAGAAAATATCTAATCGCCTTAATGATTTTAGAATTAGATGATTTTCGGCTCAGTAGCTTTGTCTCATCATGCTGCACGAGATGATCATGTGAGGGCAATATATAGAAACTATTTGATTCATCAATTAATGTTTAAAAGTTTCTAAATATATTTCACTTGTTGATTGAAGCTCTTTTGGAGTCAGATCATAATATTTATTATATCAATGGATTTGTCTAATTGAGATGCTCAGTTCGACCATAAATTTCTAAATCAAAATTTGGTTGGCTTTGAAGTTAATTCCAGAAGCTTCCAAATTAAATATTATCTCATGATTTGTATCAATTGTTCCAATTTTTATCTTTCAAAAATATATAATATCATAACTATAAATTTTAATGACCATTTTGTGAAAATATATTTAAATATTATTTTTGAGAAATAATTTCAACCATGTGTGGAATAATCACTTGTTGAAACAAGAAAAAAGAAAAAAGACATTTTTACTCACACTTTTTTAAAAAAAGTACTAATTATGTAATCTCAAGTCATAATATTAAAAAATAAATAAATAAAAAAATTTTAACCCCTCTTTTCTTTTTTTGGCCATATCTTTCAATGCAGAGGTACCATACTTGCGGTACCTCAAGCAGCTAATAAAATAACATTTACACTTAGAAAATTTAACCGTGATGTTTCGGCTTCTAATTTCCATTAACAGTCGGCCGGACCTTTTTCCTTACCGCCATTATTGAAGGAATAGACTTTGTTAGGTAGGCCCCTAGCTTCCTCTATAAATTCTCACCTCTGAAGCAGCAAAACACCATTTCTGGTCAGATAGAAGAAGAAGAAGAAGAAAGCTTTAGAAAGAGAAAAAATGGTGAGAGCTCCTTGCTGTGAGGCTATGGGGTTGAAGAAGGGGCCATGGACTCCTGAAGAAGACCATATTCTCATCTCTTATATTCGCACTCATGGCCATGGAAACTGGAGAGCTCTTCCCAAGCAGGCAGGTAATTAAGTAACTAATTAATTATGAATAATACTCCTAATTACACTCATACAAACTTACTAATGAATTCAGAAGTCCTTAATTTGGCTTGTTTTATGTAATTATATCATTTCCAATTATTTCTGCTGGTTCTGTAAATCCTTCTCCTTCTTTTTCTTTCATTTCTTTTGGTTGAGCTATGAGTGTTCTATGAGACCTTAATTAACTTCAATAATCTATGTTTTTTCTTAAGCTTTGCCCTTTCTTATTCATAATTCTTTTATCTTGAATTTGAGCTTGTTTGAGATAGTTTTTCACTATTTTACTAGCTTTTCAAAACATAATCATAATTTCTTTTGACTACTATTTTATTAATGCTTTCTAAAAATTTTTGTATTGCAAATATATTTTTTACAGCTAAAATTTTTAATGTGCAGTAGCTTTAAGAAATCAGCTTTTTAATTAAAAAAAAAAAAATTATAATACCAAGCACAGCTTTCTAAAAACACTACTTTCAACATAGCTCATTTCAAATATCAGTGTAATCATTTAACAAATTATTTTTAATGTTAATGCTCATTTATTTTAATATTGTCATTCATTTTTGTTGGTGAGAAAACGAAGATATTTACTTATGTTTTGCAATTTTTTATTAGGGCTATTGAGGTGTGGAAAGAGCTGCAGGCTAAGGTGGACAAACTACTTGAGACCAGATGTCAAGAGAGGAGACTTTAGCAAGGAAGAAGAGGATACAATCATTTATATGCACACAATGCTCGGAAATAGGTGGGGATATGATCATGACTTGAAAGTCATTGTTGTGCTTTGAGATTTGTGCTTTATATGAATAATTTGGATTGCACTAATCTCAAAGCAATTCATACTCATATAATTCCTTAAGAAAAAATTAGGAGTAATTGTATGAAATTTGAAAATATAATTATTCATAAAAGTTTCACAACTAATCAACCTATTTTTGTTAAAGGCCTTTGACTTAACGCTTCGTTTGAGATGACATTTTTACTGCTTCTTAAATCAGTTTTAAATATAAAAATTTCAAATTCATAATATTTTTATGATAAGAAAGTGCTTTATAAAATAATAAGAAAATTATCACAAATAAAATCTTAAAAGACAAAACGAACAAACTAGATATAAAGCTTTTATGAAGTGACAAATTTATTTTACTTGTACACAAAATATTATTACAAATAAAATTATGCATTTTTGCATTAAAAAACTAACAATATATAGTTACATTTAGAATGAATTATTTATATTAATAATGTGATTAAAATTTTAGCATGATTATAAAAATGTTAAGCTAATGACATACTTAAAAAAAAGACTAAAGATCACATTGCTAATGATATTTTTTTAATTATAACTAAAAGTTCTTTTAATCACTAAAATAATTTGTAATTAACTAATTATCCTAATTTTCTTCTACTTGCGTCAAATATCTATAGAAACAAACATATTTTACTAATCCAGTTCGTGTCATTTTCTTTGTTCTTCAGATGGTCTGCTATTGCTGCTAAGCTGCCTGGAAGAACAGATAATGAGATCAAAAATTTTTGGCATACTCACTTGAAGAAACGTTTAAATCCGAATCAGGTCGCTAAGAAGTCAAAGCCAAAGGTGCAGAAGAAAAATAAAGTTGAGGAGCAGATTTCACCTGGTTTTGTTCAGAATGAACCATCATTCTTTGAAATTAACACAGAAAATGATAATGTGGACGTGATGCAGAAATGCATTGATGATTATTTTAAGGAATATTTACCAGAAATTGATGAGCTTCTGTGGTCAGAAGCGTTTGCTGTGACTGGGGAAGAAGAAGAGAGTTCAATCGGTGAAAGCTTCAGTCAACCGAGCTTATCGAATGATGATGCTATAAGTTTTTGGATGAATTTGTTAGCTGAATCTGGAAATTTGGAGTGATTCAGAGTTCATTTAGGGCGATTAATGTGATTGATTGTAAAGTAGTTGCAGGAAAAGCAATTTTTTTGGCTTTCTGCTATGGGTGTTATAATTTTTTTCCTTTTGAAAAAGTCGGAATATCAGCTTTGTATAGCTACATCAATTTAACAGATTTGATAGTAAAAAATATTTTTAGTCTCAATTTTTTTGCAAAGCAATAGCCAAAAAGACCTGTGACAAAGATCTAAAGAAGACAACAAGCCTTTTTTTGAGGTCGGCTGCAAGAATTTATTTTCTGTTAAGAATCAAATTCTCATTGAAATCCAATATGGAATGTCATTTATAATATTTACTAACCAAGTCTTTTTCGGTCTAGCTTTATGTAAGCCAAATCTAATATATCTACTCTCGATCCTAACCGTTCATTAGAAGGCCGTCGTTTTATGTGACCAAACCATCTAAGACGACTCTCTGTAATTTTATCTTCTATTGAAGCTATTCCAACCTTTTCATGTATATATGCTCGTTTCATATCCTGTCTGATCTAAGAGTAAAGTCACTCATCCATTTGAGTAAGGGCGGACCTATGCCGTGCCCATCCTAAAATTTTAATATATTAATTATATATATTAGGGATATTTTAGGTATTTTTGTAGCAGTCGGTGCCATATTTCGCCCTAAATATGTATTGCCCCGTTCATTCAAATGCTCTACTCGTTCTAAGCCAGGCGCCAACCTTGATCTTGCGCTTTGCCGCGCTCAGTGAGCCTCTCTCCGGCATCCTCCTGCGCTTCACCGCTCCCTAACTGGTCTTCTTCAATCTCTATGAAGTTGTAATACAACATTATCAAAAAATACAAAATAAATTATTAAGCTTATAATAATATTTAATTTACCAATCATAATAAATTTGCTTTAAATTATGCTACTATTTTATTTTTTAAAATATTAATCTATTTATATATAAAATTTGTCCACACTAACATAAAGACTTCTGCCCCTGCATCAAAGCATCCTCATCATTATAACACTTAACGTAAAATTTTAAAAAATAAATGCAAAGAGATCCTCTATTCGATGCAGCTGTGCTTTTAATATTCTATGTGAGTAGTTAATCAACATTAACAGTTTAATGATTTGCATAATATGATTGGTTCAACATTAACTATCAATGAGAAATTATGTATAAGTACTATTTAACCTAAAAGCTGCTTTGATCAGCGTAATGGAAAGCGAAATCACACAGAAAATTATAAAAGAAAAAGATTTTGCATACTTGAGAGATCAATCTTATATATCAACTGCCACATAAATTTTATTATATTATTATAGTTACAATCATAGTGATAACACTTTTTTTTTAATGAACTTAGATATACCACCTAAACCAATACTTAGAAAAAAAAATGATGAGTTCACATTCATCATTATCATATTGATTAAGGTTTTATTTGGGATGACTTTTTTAGTGCTTTTATAAAACAGTTTTTTAGTCTCAAAATTTGAGTATCAAAAATTTTTTAAGTAAATTTTGTACTAAAAAATTATTTTAAAATGCTGTAAACAAGTCATTTAAACAAAACCTAAGAGGGTCAAAAATATCAATACCTTTATCTTCTGTGATATATATATATTGTCTACTTTACTAAAGCGTCGTTTGGGACAGCTTTCTTACTGCTTTTGAATGCAGCTTTTTAGTACAAAAATTTTAATTTTAATTTAGCAGATTTAATTTTTTGGATGCGCTGCAAAATTTGAGCGAGCAATTCAGTGGAAAGCATATAGCTTCAGTAAAGGAGGAGATTGATTCTGACTAGATGTTTTTTTCTTATTTATGGACATTTGTGTAGTTGTTCATTTTATTGTCTATTTTTAACTATGCAACGGACTTTATATCTCATTTTAAATTGTTTCATGAATGTTCAATGAATTTGGAATGATCAAATTTGTTATTAAACTGTTTGTTGAATGTTAAATTATTTATTTAAATTTATGGTCAATGCATGAATGAATATGATTTTTTTGTATATTTTTATACAGGTTTGTTGTGTTGTAGAAAACATAAACATAAGGAGCGCTTTTCTTTTTTTTGCTACAGATTTCCTATAGATATTATGGAGGATTTCAGATGGAATATCTGCCGGAAATGTTGATACGATGAAATATATCATCTTTTCGACGTAAATTTATTGTCGGTATTTCTTGCAGATAATCTGTCAAACTCCTCCGCCGTAATGTGTCCGACGGCGTATTCCAGCGAATAATCCGCTGGAAATTAATATCGGGGATAAATTTGTGCCGAAAATTTTGGCGGATTCTCCGACGGAACTAATGACTGAAAATCGATGCATAATGGTTATATTTTCTGCCGGCATTCCGTCGGTAAGCCCGATGCTGGAAATATTTCCTGCTAAATTTTTCCTCTGGAAGAATGTTTCCAACACTCGTTTTATAGTCAAATGAGTTTCTGCTGAAAATCCACCGGAAACTCATATTTTCTGACGGAAGTTCATGTTTACCGGAGGATTTTGGCCGCAAATAACACGCGATTATCCTATAGTGTAAGTTTATAAAATTTATGATCCACCATAAAATCAATCGAACTATTACGTACAAGTTATACAGATTTATATTAGCTACATTCACATATAGAATAAGGTGAGTTTTTCTCCGATTATTATATTAGCTACATTCACATATAGCTACATTCACGTGTTCTTCATATCAATAGTTTGCAATTTTCTCCCTGGGTTATATCAATAGTTTACAACATCCCATTATTTAATATATATTATTATAATTATGTCTATAGCTATTGTATTGGAAATACTTTTAGGCACTTACCCTTATAATGCAGGAGTTATCCATGTGCTCTTCGTATCATAGTTTATAATTTTCTCCCTAGGGTATATTAAGGACTAGAAGACTGCACTCATTAGATAGATTTTACTTCATTATATAAGGGTGTGGCAATCTTTAATTGATGCTTTAGTAACAAAACATTCATGGGGCCAACACCATCTTCATCATGTTTGTCTTCATTAATTATGTCTTAGGCTTCGTTTGGGACGGCTTTTTCTAAAATGGAGTTTTAGTACAAAAATAAAAAAATTTGTACTAAAACTCCATTTTAGAAAGCTATAAAAAAGCCGTTCCAAATGAAGCCTTAATCTACTGCGAAATCAACCTACGATTCATCATTAATAGGTGTGACTAATTGACCCTATATCATGCTTATTTATTATCACTAGTTTTTTTTTTTAATTAGGAATGCTGTTATATTTTGTGTTTTTTTAAAAGAAAACTTATAATGGAAATACTTATTGATTTGAAAATATTTATAGTTGGGTTCGGGATACTTTTCAGTACCCAATTTAGACTTAGGTTCCAAGGCAGGCCAGGCTCGGGCTATAAGACTTCAACCTCTAGGAATTGAATCTCATCTTCTAATAAAATTGACTATTCAAAACTTAAATCTCTTTCAATCAAATTCAAGCCTAACACTTAGGATAGACTGAGGTGTTTCTGAAGTAATTTATAGTCTCAAAATACCTCATACCCTTCCTCCTTTGACTCCAGAAATAAGTGTTCAACCTTGAACCAATCCCATTTAAAAATTCCTACCCTTTTCCTCCTTTGATATCAATCTTTCAAAATCTTAAATAAAATTTTTACCGCTATTTTAATCAAGAGTATTGGTAGGAAACTTCGGTTTCCCCTACGATGTAATTAACTACGAGGGCTTGCGCTTGTAGGAGATTTAGAAACCCAAACAAGATTTTCAAAATCTTTAATTAATTATCTTTGAGAAAATTAAAATCCAACAATCATTATCATTATATCCAAATGATTGATAATATGTGATATTTTCTTTCTTTGGAAAGATATATCATTCTATTATTATGATTTTGATTATGAAATTAATGATTCTTAATCTAGATTATTATAGTCAAACATTTGATCAAACATTATTTTGATCCTCCAGGATCATTTGTTATCTTCCCTTGAGTTTGACTATGATAATCAAGATAAATTTAAAATTTTGAAATATTAACCCATTAGGGAATGACATATTCGCCTCTCGAGGTGATATGTTCGATTTCAAAATTAAATTCCAAAAATTTAATTCTCCCAAAGATAATTAATCCTTTTTCAAAATCACTATAATTTTTCAATCAAACAGATTCATATCTTAATTGGTCTCTGATACCATTTTTGTCACTACCTGGCCTAGCAACTCGACTTAATGAGGCAGAAACTAAAAATCACATGCCATTAACACATTCTTTTTAATGATCACATTAACATAAAATCTCTCAAAGAAACTGAAGAGTTATTATAACAAAGATATTTCTTAAAATATATTCATTTCACTTTTCAAAGCTAATAATTATAACAATCATACTTTATATGTTCTCATTATTGCATAATCTTCTATAAACAAATTCTTCTGAAATCTTACCTGAAAATATTTATTTAATGGAATGAGTTTATAAAGTAAACTCAGAGTGGATAACTGTTAAAATAATTAACATGAAATAAAAAAATATGATACATATAACTTTTAACATACTTCTTTTTCATTTCTCTTTCTCATCTTTATTTTGTTCATTTCAGTCATCTTTGTATATCATATCACATTCCATAACATATAAAAAAATTTAATATCGATTCTTTTCCCATTTAATTAGTACATAAACATAATTTAAATGTATCAAAGGTACAATCATTTTCATTTTCTTTTCTTTTTGCATAACCTTTTCCTTTAAGTGCACTAGTACATTGCTTTCCCATCTAGTACCATATAGGGGTGAACTCTTGTAAATTTTGCATTCATTTTCTTTTCCCTTATTTATTTATTTTTTTTATTTCCATTCATTCATATATTATTCCTTCATATGCATACTTTTTTAATATATATATATATATATATATGTATCATATATATACCCCTTTCACATATACATACAATTTCATTCAATCATTTTCAATTAGTTATAATATCTATATTTATTTATGCATTTAAACTTACATCATTTCACACATGATAGTTTCCAAAAAATAAAATATTT